GGGAGACCGGCCGCCATCTTGTGGTATTGAATGTGCCGGTGTAAGACGGCCGCCATCTTCCACTTGCTGGGTTTCTTCGTAAGATTTTGCTTCGCCGTCATCAGTTGTTGGTCTCCTGGGCGACCGGGATCTATCGTTATTGCATCTGGTTCGTAGGTAATGCCTTGGATCCTTCTGTCTAGGCTCCGGTTGGTCATTCGTGGCTTCTTGTGTTGGCGGCATAAATCGAGCAACGAATGGCTCAAGAGCTTGCAGGAACGCCGGTTGGCGTTCAATCACGCCTGCCAGAACTTGAAAAAATTGGCTCACCTCTGGTGATGTTATTCCCTGGAAGGGGCGCGGGGTCCCCTGCGCTTGTTCTCTGCCATCTTTCTTCGCAGCTCGAATTTGACCTAATTTGTCAAGGTTGTCTTGGTCCAGCATGCTTTCCATGCCTCTTGTTATTGGGCCAACATTGGCCGCGGCTGCAGCCGCGGCCAATGTTGCAAGTACAGAAGCATGCTTCTGTACTTGCAGCTTGAGTGCCCGTGCCTTCTACTCCGGGTGTTAGGCTTATCGAGATGTCCATGCTGCCGCATTTCAAATTCACTGAATTCGTTCCTCCCGGGTCAAACATTGGTGGTTGGAGGGTGATGGAGGGTCCTCCTTGGTCCATGAGGCCTTTTTCGGGGCGCGAGGGCCCCAAATTTAGCGTTGTGAACAGCTCTCGGCGGAGGTAGGAAAAACAGGTCTTCCAGATCAACCACTTCGTCGTCGTCCTTCTTAGAGCCCATGCTCAGAACGAGCTCACATTAATAGGCTGCTAAGACCGGCACTCTTGATGGTGCGGAATGCACGTTGCAAAAGAACTGTGGAAGCTCGCCATCAGCACGCTCTCAGCATTCGCGCACACAGCTATGGCCGCCAGTGAATACTCCCAATACAGAGCAACAGAGCCATGTGTATTGAGAGTTTGGCCATTCATTGGTTTGGAATCTTTGGATAGGCGAGCATCTCGTGGCATTCATCGCGAAACAGCCCCTTGTGGTGGTCGTGAGCTCTAAAAATGGGACTCGACTAATTTAAGCTGTTTTAGCGTCGTTAACGTAAAAAGGTGTAACTCTTGGTCACTGAAAACTTGGCGCAGGTAAGGTTTCTGTCACGTCCAAATTCATAGAATAAACGAACGTGCGCTCCAAACCAGAGCCAACTGCGTAGTTGCTATCATTGCTGCTGATTTGCTATTGACGCCATTGTCACCGAGACGCCAAGATTACACGCTTCGATATCACGCTTTAAATGCCATTTACAATATTCTGACGTCGCGGTCTGCTGACTGGTCGACGCTGTGTCGCACTTTTAGTTTATGCTCTAACCGCGGGGGGTGAATATTTGGCGCTGGCGGCGACCTTTGCTTCGCCCATCGGCCAAACTCTCTCAATATACGGCTCTGCAGGGCAGCAGAAAGTCGCTGCAGTTCGCACGTACCGCCGCACGTGCGCGTGCACGCAGTGCAGGCGCACACCCACCCAACGTTGCTTGAGCAAGCTCAGTTTCGTAGCTCCCTATTCTCGCCTGCAGAGGCGAATTGCACAGGTGGCGGTCACGAGAACTAGCGGCGCTGCAGTCGGATCTTGCTTCCCTGTCCCGCGCGTTGTCTGCTACCACTGCGTTGAGAGCTTCCTTTTCTTTTTCTTCCTTCTTTTAGAGCGCAGCTCTTAGGCGCCCGTTTCCGGCTTGAGCGGCGTCGCCGTCGCCGTCGGCGTAACCGCGCGGTGCATTATGGGTAAATTTTCCTGAATGAACCCGAGGTTTTCCCGAAGGACCTCGGGAGAACCTCGGGTTCCTTCGCGAGGACCTCGGGAGGACTTCGGCTTCCTTCAGGAGGACCTCGGTAGGACCTCGGGTTCCTTCGGGAGGACCTCTGGAGGACCTCAGGGTCCTTCGAGAGGACCTCAGGGTCCTTCGGGAGGACCTCAGGGTCCTTCGGGAGGACCTCGGGAGGACCTGTGGTTCCTTCGGGAGGACCTCGGGTACCTTCGGTGACCTCAACGAGAGGGGGTCACGTGACCCCCCCCCCTCTCCCGAGGTCACGTGACCCCTCCCCACCGAGGTCACGTGACCCCCCCCCCCCCCGAGGTCAGGTGACCCCCCCGGAGGAGATTGAAGAATGACGGTGCGAGGAGGAGAAGGAGGAGGAGGTGTACAGCCTCCCCTCAGTACCCTTCCCTCCTCCTCCTCAAGAGCTGCGCTCTAATTCGGCGTTACAGGGAGTTGTAAACGGCTTTCACTTTTTAACTTCCACGTGTATAACAGCAAAAAAAAAAAAAGATGATGAAGATGAAGTGTAATACACCACAGAGATCAGAGTCAGCGCATTGTGAGTGTTCTTTCTTTGAGTGTTTGAAATTTATTTTTGTGTGCGTCTGTTTCCTTACGCTGTGAAGTGTTAGTATGAATCAACAAGAGGGGATCGGTGGCCGAGTGGTCTAGCGCACTCCAGCTCGGAGCATGTGGAGCGAAAGCTCGCGCTGCAGAACCCAGGGATCCTGGGTTTGAGCCCCACCCCTGCCCATTTCGATCTGGATGAGCATCGTATAGCGTGCGGTCGTGTATCACTACTGCGTGATGCACGTTAAAGACCCCAGGCTAGCGGCTGTACCGCACTGGCTAAATTTCTCATCTACAGCTGGGAGACTCGTCGCCCCTGTGAGGCAGACCAAGTTCTAGGCTGTATAAACAGACACACAACCCAATTTTTTTATGAATCAACAACTCGCCCAAGCTCAAGTATTGCTATTCAAACTTGGCGGACTAGACAATCCGGAAGCAAGACTCGACTGCAGCGCTGCTAGTTCTCGTGACCGCCGCTGTGCTCACGTCGAAGGCGGAGCTGTGAAACTGAGCTTGTTCCAGTTAAAGTGTTCCAGTAACGTTGCAGCCCCCACCATACTGACCGTACTGCCGATGCGCCTGTCCGGTGTCGACACCTATCGCGATCTTTACCACGCGCCTCACGCGAGCCGCTCCGGTCCCAACACTACCCTGTATTCTAGTACACTGTAGAGCCACTAAATGAGCTGCGCTTAGGGTATCGGCACTCCGTTCCCCGACATTGTTGTGGGCGCCGCCATTTTGGCTCATATCCAGGGCAGACGCAACTGCCGATCGTCATGGTTCAAAAGTGCGACTTCCTCAGCATTAGATTCGGTGTTAGGGAGCTCACGTAATATTGCTTTGCTCTGTCGCGAACTGTTTAAAAATTTGTGGAGGGCGGAAGAGCGTTTCTGTGATTTCAGATAACTGACAACCACGATTTTAAGGCACAATATGGCCAAGTATCGTTACTCTGAAGCGTGGCTTATTTAGCGGCACTAGTACACAGTATTTCTCCTAAGCACCGGTAATCATTGTTCTGGGAACGCGCGAGGCACATCTCACGAGCGACTGCTACGCCTCCATTCACTTCCAGGAGCGCTTTCGTTTCAGCGTTTCGCCGTTTGCTTCCTAGGGCCTTACGGGGCACGGACCTCGTGCGCTGGCGCATTTGACGCTACTTGTGACGAACACAAACACACCGACGGGCTTTACACTAACAGCCTGTGCTTAAAGGGGTACGGAAACCAAATTCTGGAGCTCATTTCTTTGTTTCAACACGACGCAGGTAGCAGCACAACCACAGAAACATAAATATTGCGCTAGAAAACGCAAGAAAACATATTTTAAAGTGAATTAAACGATAATCAAAAACCACCTGGTAGTTGGTTATGAAGCTTCAATGGAATGTCGTGACGACAACATGCCTCTGAAAGCAGCGCCGCAGCGGTATGTCCGCTCACTGGTATAGATTGCCTAGGCCTGAACGTAATACCGAGGCGTCTTGGTGGAAAGAGCCAAAACGAAGTGAGCCACCTTGGTTTCAGCTCTCGCGCGACGTGCAAACGTGTGCTTCGGTTGTTCTCAGGTTTGGTGCGCGTGCTGGCCCCGCGATATCTACAGCCCTTGGGTACTTCGACAAAGCGAGATTGTAACGCGTTGACGCCTCCAAGTGGCAAAACTCGTCACTACGGTACGCTTGGTCGTCCGAGGCATGATGACGTCAAGACGTCTGCCGGATCTCCCGAGATGCATCGCGCTCCTCCATGGCTGATTTTGAAGCGCTCGCCAAAATCGCGGCGTTTAGAGCATAAAATATAGCCATCTGCTCAAAATACGACCGTGCGATTATTCATTACAGGCTTAGCTGATCATATTGAACTCATTTCTTGATGTTTTCTCTAGATTTCAAGTTTCGATTCCGTATCCCTTTAAAATCAGGGGGGTCTCGGGGGATCTCGGACCCCACGAACAATTTTGACAGGGGGGGGGGGGGGGGGGGGGTAAATCTGAGACCCCCCCGGTCATACATCTGGCATTAACAAAAACACAAGTGTACCTATCGATTCTTATATAAACACATGATCTGATTTCCCCCTAGAAGTTATATCCCGGCTACAAATGTTCTTGCGTCCACAAAAAAAAAAAACAAAAAAACTTACTGGGCTGCATTTACGTATTAGTCGAGTCGATTTAGTGTGTATCTAGTACCAACCCCCCTCCCTCCCAGCTTCCATCGGGCTTTGTAGAGACCCCTCGCAGATTACGGGAGACTTTAAGCACTGCTAACAGCCCGTGTTGTCCTTGCGCTGTATTATGAGGCCACTTCATGAGTACAACGAAAGAGCTGTAATCCGATAGCCCGCGCGCGACTGTGATTACTGATTATGAACCACCCATCGCGATAGTTTTAGAAATGGCAGTCGTATCAGATTTCGCGGTAGCGCCGGTGTAGCGGTACTCAATGCGGGCCCGAGGAGATGGTTGACCCGATTAGCAGCATTCGTTACATAACCGCGAGCGAAGCCGGGATAAGAAAAAAAAAAAAAAAGAAACAAAGAGGGTGTAGAAAAATGGATACAGCTGCCAAGCCCCGAGCGTGCTTCGCTTGGATTGTCTTTTTACTCGCTGTACTATTTCTTTTTCTTTTTGCGATGTGGTCACGTGATCCAGCGGAGCTCTCGTCGCGGAGTCTAGCGACCCGCTCTACCCCCTTCGCCTCCTTGCTCCGCGTAGCTCGCCGCTGTCTCCCGAAGTCGGCGTCTGGGGCATCTCAGGTGTGTGTGTGGCCTTTTTGTCGCGTCTTGTGTCGAAGAGGTTCCCTCCCACGTCCTTGGCTTCTGACACTCGCTTCGGGTGCTGTGAGGGGAATGGGGAGTCAGTTCGCTGTTGCTAGAACGGCCGCTCGCTTTTTTGACATCCGTCGTCGCGGTGGATGTGAAGCCGTAATTTTGTGGGTGCTCGCGGCGCGAGGACTTTCAATGTCAACCGCCGCTCGCTCTCGCAAGGATCTGTCGACGAATCGATCCCGTCACATCGGTTTCTCGATGTTTGTAACGTCTGGGAGGTTGATGCGTCGGTACGAGAGGCGCGCTATTGAGTGACTGTCGTCACGTTTGTAGTTGTGGTGCATTGACTGAATCTGTCTTTCATCCGAGTTACGCGGGGACCGGTCCTTTCCTTAAAGGAGCTGTGCAACGATATTCAATTGGAATGTTTTTATCTCTACACGAGCTTACTGGCACACCTGGGACTCAAGGATACTCGCGCGCAACGCCATTGGCCAAGAAACTCCTTTGTTGCGGTGTAATTTCAAGGACAAAAGCGATCATTTTCATTCAATCTCTCCTTTGCAAAATTTGATGACGTAACTCGGGGTTCGCAGTACACCCAAGTGACGATATTTGAATGCGGTTCATAGATTGGACCCGAGCATTGCGTGGGCGCTCGACTTGGGCTCGTGATAATTACTAGCTCGAGAAGCATTCGGGTTGTGACCCGTGTCCAATCGCTGCAACGACGACAACAGCCGAGCCATAACAATGTCTGGAACTCAGCGCGTGCCCTGTGCTTTGCCAACCCGAGCGCGTGGCTATGATCAACACTGGCGGCATATAATCGGCTCCAGATCACGTGGCCGCTTGTTCTGGCGGCGAGTTGAGGGGGTGAAAGCTGCTCGTTTTTCTTAAATTTTTTTCTGGGACTTCTATTGCGTGGGGTGAAAAACGGACGGGTGTTTCATAGGTCATTAACGTTAGGGATCCGTTTTAAGCGGTATTTGTGCACAGTACAAAAATTGTTGCACAGCTCCTTTAAGGCGCTTTGTGTCTCGTTGGCAACTTTGACGGTGGAGGTGTTTGTGCTGGTTGAGGGTCACGACCTCTGCGAGTGCTCAAGAATAATTTGTACGTGTACATCATTACGTGCCTTGCACGTGACTTCATCTCACCGTACTAACGGTCCTTCCTGCTTGTTGTTGCCTAGAAGAATCACATTTTGTGGTACGAAATATTATCAGCAGAAGCAAAAAGGTTCTTCATAGGGGCCGCTGATGTGACGGCAGTGCAAGCCGTGTGCATACATATGCGTCAAGGTATTCAAGGTCATAGAGGTATGAGTTACCTTAGCACACATTCCACAGTGTTACATTCAAAGTATAGAACTCGTTCTTCCCAGCAACTCACGAAACATTTAATTCGTGCAATTAATTCGATAATTACGGTTGTTACCCGAGATGGGGGGGGGGGGGGGGCAGCAAGAAATACAGAGAACACACACCCCTCCCCCCCCCCCCCCCCCCCCACACACACACACACCCACACACTCAACCAATAAAAGGAAAAGAAGGCTTCAGAACAGTTTTCAGGCTATACGTTCGTTTTATTTATTTTTTTGGACTGTTTATGAATGTTCATACGACATGATGTACCTTCCATTTACGCGCCCTCGTGGCTTTATGAAGTCACCGTTGTGTTTTGACTTTTGTGGTTGGCATTTTCCGAACAAAGAAATTCTGTAGATTTATTCATGTACTTATTTATCTACTACTCCCCTATGGCCCCGAGAGGCATTACAGCTCCGTCCCTGAACGGTTTATTTTATAATGTTGTATGAGTTGTAATAATCCAGTTAGCATTTTTTTGAATTTAGTATATGACAATAGCGGTATATAGGAGTCATCCGTCGCTAGACTCACCTACTTACGACCCTTTCAGGACGGCGGCATGGACTGGGACAACAGCCAGCCAGACTTTGTCTTCTAGAAGATTTCCAGCTGGTGTCCCTCTCTCTCGCTGAACTCAGACCACAAAGATGGCGTCCTCGAGCGATGAGAAGAGGGTCCTGCGTCATCACCACAAAGCGGCGTTGCAGTTTTCTTCGGGCGCAGTCGCTGGCTTCATCGAAGTTTGCGTTAACCACCCCCTGGACGTGGTCAAGACTCGGTTACAGATGCAGTCGGCCGACGACCCCAACCGGTACAAGTCCATCGCCGACTGCTTCAAGCGCATGGCCAAGTCGGAAGGCTTCTTTGCCATCTACAAGGGCATCGTGCCCGTCCTGGTGGTGGAAACACCCAAGATGGCGCTGCGATTCATGACTTACGAACAGACCAAGAGGCTTCTCTCGGACCACGTGTCATCCGTGCCCAACAACTTGATCTCCGGATTCTTCGCGGGTGCCGTCGAAGGGGCCGCTGTGAACCCGTTCGAAGTGGTCAAGGTTCGACTACAGACGGACAGGCAGTTTGTCACCCAACAGCCGAGCGCGTACAGTCTCGCCAGGCAGATCTACAGGAAGGACGGCATGGGGAAGAACGGGCTGAGCCTAGGGCTAACGTCCAACATCTTCCGGCACGGCGTCTTCGTCATGATCTACTTTACGCTCTACGCCAAGTTCAAGGAGATGGCGCCACGGTTCAACAACAAGAGCGAAGCCAATCTGTACAAGGTCGGGACAGGACTTCTGAGTGGATGCATCGGGACGTGCTTCAACATACCCTGGGACGTCGTCAAGAGTAGAATCCAAGGGCTTCAGCCGGTTCCCGGTGAAGTGAAGTACAGGTCGTGCTGGCAGAGTTTTAAGCTTGTGGTCCGGGAAGAGGGACCTCTGGCCCTGTACAAGGGACTTGCGCCCAAGATGCTGCGGTTGGGCACGGGCCACGCGCTCATCATCGTTCTGTACGAGCACATTGTGGAACTACTTGAAGCCTTAGCCTCTAGGATATGAAGTAGGAAACCATAGTTACAAAAGATAGTCAATAAATTGCAACGTCAAAGATAACTACGGTTGTTAGCGAAATCGAGTAGTTCACGTGGTGTTAAATGCGAGCATTTAGCGTAATCAGGGCGTAATTGTCAACAACGAGAAATGTGAAACTAAAAGAAAACCGGATGGAACTTTTATTTGGGAAAAATCTGGCCATCATTGATACCCACGCTTCGCTATCACCGCGACGCGCCATCCTGTCCCTTCTTCTCTCTAACTCTTTCTGCGCGGTAGCTTGGAGCACAGGTTACTATGCATGATATGCAAATTCAGAAGCAAGGACTTTATGAGATGATTATTTTTGTACGAGTAATTTATTTTTAATGTTTTTGGAGGCTAAGCCCGGTATACAACGAAATGAATGGATGATTAATGAATCGATTCTTTATTAATTTTGCCTTCACTGTTCTAATAAAGCATTGACAAGGCGTATAGTGTCCACGCGAAGCGTGCTGCTACTGCCCCAAATAAAATATTGTAAATTGTTGATTCGCCCAATTGTGGTATTTTTATGCTAACTACATTCCATGAGTGTATGCATTTTGTTCGCGTCTGTCATCCAGAAAGTGAATCCAACAGAGTTTTGCATAAGCAGGGATGGTCAAATGTACTGTAAGCATTTTGAAATCCATACATCGCGGTTCATAACAACGTTATGTAGACTTGGAAAGTAACACAATACCTATATCAGGAGTACAATTAAAACATCCGCTAAGTTTATTTGAAGGGGTATTCGGTACCCGGTACAAAGACACGAATACAGTTTGCAGTAACAAATCCTATCAATAATAATAATAATAATAATAATAATAATAATAATAATAATAATAATGTATTATATTCGGGCATTTTATTGTTACGCCTTGGACGATATCAGTCAGAGCGATAACCACGCATGAAAACATTCTATATTAACAACCTTTCATTATTGTTACCTCATGTAACACTATAATGCAAATATTAGTTACATCATACTCCTAGCTTTCACTAACAGCTGTACAGCATTCTAAGTCCTCCAAAAACGTGCATCAAAACCCTACCTACGTGTACCTACGTGTACAGCATTCTAAGTCCTGCAAAAACGTGCATCAAAACCCTACGTGCATCAAAACCCTACCAAAACTGTAACCGTTGCAATACCTAGCCAAGTAATAAACGCTCATGCAAGCTTCCTCGAACAGCTGAGAGTCAAGAAAAATATTCAAATTCCCAAGAATATGCCAAGTGGCAACTTCCTTATAAATCGGCTAGGATCTGTTGACAAAATGCGGATTTAAGGATTGTCGTTTATTTTACGAAGTCCATGTGCATCTGTCCAGATCCCATTCGATTTGTTTTTAAAATTATTTACCTATTTGGCATTCAGGCAGATACTAATAATAAAATAAAATTTGATTAAATTCGATTAGCAAATATTCTTGAGCCCGAAATGATACTCCTAAAACTTGGACATTTCGGAATTCTCTTCGTGATGGCGGAAAGGAGATGGAGCGGCTCAGCTGACTCCTTCTGACATCTATGAACCTCGACGGCAACTATGTTTTATGCCTGGGTACATTTTATGACCGCTCGAATTCTGTAGCGCTGGAAGCGCAAATGAATATTTTTGCCTTCAAGCATGTATCGCCACCTCATGAGAGATTTGCTAAACAGGAGTGGTGTGTTTCACAAAGTGAAACCAAGGTGGCGTCAGCATCGTTCATAAAACGAACAAGCGTAGGAGAGGGTATGACGGCAGCCGTGTAGCCTCCACAAGCCATGCTCCCTTGACGCCTCGCCTCTTTCTCATTTTCCTCTTTACTCTCCTCACTTACCACGCCAACGTGACCACATCACGTGACCGTAGCTAGCCTTCGTCTAGCTATGGGGTACTAGAATATACCACAGGCTAGCCTTCGATCTGATAAAACCTACCGGACGGAGCGCGCGCAAGCCTGCAAGGAGTCCTTCTACAATCAACCATCCATCTCACACGCCAGAGAGATCTATGGTCACGTTGGCCACAACATCGTTTACACTTTTTACGACTAGGCTTCACCAATATTGCAACGTGCCCTCTCCTAGTGCTTCTAACCTCCTTGACAGGAACTCTAAAGAAAAAACTTAAACGCCGGCACTTTTTTTTTTCTTTTTAGTTTGTAAATTCTAATATGAAAAAAAAAAATCCACATGACTTTCCAGGTGTTCTAGGAAAGTTCGCACAGAGCATGGAAACATGGTTTTACGGGGTGTAATATTAGCATTTCGAACGCCTACGTTCACGTCCTACTTTATATTACGAAGGTGCTTTGGTATATGTTGATAGTAATTAAAATATACCCTTATCGTGTCAAACGTTCTCCTTGGTTTCACCAATGGTCTCCAAATTGGTTGAATTGTTTCTGATCGACAGTCTCACAAGCTGCGGATAAAAAACAGAAGGGAGAGAAAATATATTGGCGACTGAATATGAAAGGTCCTCTTATCATATGGAATGTGCATATATGTTACTGGTCCAAGTGTCATGATAACAAATAGACGAATGAGGTCACATTATGACGGAAATAACAAATAAATAAAAATACGCGAGGCCGACAGCCGAGAAAGACACGATCGCGTCATGCACTATTTGAGCATTCGAAAACTCTAAGTGTGGGTAAAGCAATATAATATTTGCATCATCAACTGTCGTTTTTTTATAGTTTTTTTTTTCTTTTTTTGCGCAATTAGTTTGCACAGCTTTAATCTGATAACCGAACCAGCGAAATACAGATGCGGGAGTATTTCCAGTTTGGCGGTTTGTCGCTCTTTTCTAGCAGACGACGCCTCTGGCAGCGCAGGACGGTTTCCCAAGGCCGCCGGAAGTCGATACTACCGCCACGACGAGCGACGAGCGGACTTCAAGGTCAGCTGACTTCCGGCGTCGGGTAGGCTGCTGCTGCGAAGCGCGCCTTTCCTGGATAGCAAGTCTCTCGTTTTTCAGCTTGCAGAGGCGGTGAGTTGAAGCTGTTTTTGAGACGTTTAGCGCTTCCTTGACCTCCATTTCCTCGTGTACCTGCAAAAACAACAACTTTCAGCTTTCGTTGAACCGCAACAACTTTTCCGGCTGCCGTTGAACTGAGGTAGCGACGACAAATGAACCGGGTTGGGAGGTCGGGCGTTTGAAAAAAAGAAGTGTGTATTTTCAGTTTGCGGCACGTATTTCAGCTTTTAGATTTCAAAACGATCGGTGACCGGACTCTTTTGTCCAAAAATACGCGCGGAGACATGCTTGCGATCGTATCCGTCCGCGGAGGAGAGCTGTCTTTGTGGTTGTCTGCTCGCCCCGCGAACAAATTGCTTTTGGCATTGTACAGAGCGCCTCGGATTCTTGGCCCGTTGTCACGCGCTGCGAAAAAAAAGTAATTATAGTTGTAGGACGCATACACAGCGCAGCATGGATTCGTCAAGCTGCGTGGCTGCCGAAATAGTGCTAAAACGGATGATCGGTTGCCCTGCAAAATTGGCTGTTTTTGTGTTGTCTTCTGCTCACAAAATTATCGAGATAGGCGCCCAGGATGAGTGGATTTGGCGACTTTGGCCCGGTTTCCCGATTAAGATTGTAGCGAGTGCCGCACCGTCTGCTCGGAGCTTATCTTGAGCTATTGAACGCTGACCTAATGGACGATGTACACACGATCGAGCGTAATAAAAAGGCGCCGCGTCTGATAAAAAAATTTATTGCTGTGGTCCGAGCGATATCTGGGAGGTCATCATATCGTCGCGCTTGTGTTGGGTTCAAGTGGGTGTTGAGATAAGGTAATGACATTGTATGCTCTGAGTGATGGACGGTGCATGTGCTTTTGGTTATATGCTTCGTGACTTTGAGTCTGTACGCTAAGCATACTTGGCTGAGTGGGCTTATTTAATTACTCTAGATAATGGAAGTTGCACATATACTTGATAATTTGTTTCAAACTTCATGAGATTCAAACGTTGGCACCTACCGATCGAATTAATTCTGTTAATCATTGAAGAGAACGTGATGCATGACTCTTCCAGTAGACTGCGAACGTTCTAATCCATTTACACCTATAACTTGATTTGTGTTTCTAGGTGCAGACCCATACATGTTTGCAAATTCGTGCACAGTGATTGCATGTGCCAAAAACATTGCTTACTTGTCATAAGATTTTGAAACTAGGGGACCGACAGCGAAAAAAGACGCAGGAATTCGAACACGACAACAAAAAGGAAGCAGCACACATACAGGATTTCAGGCACACCTGTGTTTAAAAGCCCGGATGTGTTGACTCGTTTTTTACCCTCCGTTTAAGGTTTTTTCCAAAAGAGTAGCAGTCGTTGGAAGTCTCCTAGCCCGCTTGCTTTTTATATATTCGTGTAATTTAATTTATACCTGTGCGCGTGTGACACCTCCCACCCGTTTGCGCAACATAGTAAAATAAAATAAAAAAAACATTTTGTTGCTTTTTTAGGTTTTTTGTGTTTGATGAACCACTAGTCCGGCCCTCAGCAACAATAGCAAAAGGCAAGTTCGTCCACTGCTTTCCGCCCGGTATTTCCGCTGCACCCTTGCTGCTGCATGATTTCGTGTTGCTCCTGCACAGCTGGCCTGGCAGAAATCCCGTAATATAACGTGCCGACGAGAAAAAAAAAAAAAAAAGCGCAAAAAGATTTGAGAAAAAAAAAAAAGGAGGGGGGTATTTTCCCGCGCATTAGTTTGCTTCCCCTCTGTTTCTACGTACCACAGAGAGATGGCGCCAGCTGACGGAGCTGGCTCTGCTATCTCTGGGACGACGCGGGAACTACCCTGCGTTCTAGTTTTGCGCGTGATCGTACTGCGATTTGAATTAGTGCGGTATCTCCTAAGTCTCGGCTCACATTAAAAACGAACATACGATACGTTTAGAACCGGTTCTTTATATTTCTTGGTTTATGTATTTGCATACTCTTGCGACGGTGGTAATTTTTTTTTAATGTGCTTTGACATTTTTTTATTTTTATTTTTTTATTTCTCGTAATATTACGGGAGCCAAGAATGCAAAGAGCCAATTCATGCGAACCTCGGCGTATAGGGCAGGTTCAAGACACATGTAGAAGAACATGGCGCCAATCAGCGACAAACTTGTCAAAACAGGCATGTCCTTTTCCGAATTCAAGATACCTTAACGAGCGTAACATTCGTATAGTTGCAAGAAGATACATAAGGAGATTGCCAATTCCAGCGCGTGGCTATGATTAAAGGGACAATGAAATGACTTTTCAACTTCTTCCTCCTTAGCTTTAATCTTTAACTCAAAAGGGAATTGAGAAATCATGAGGTCGGGGGGTGACATGCTTGGGCACTGGTGCGATGATTCCAAGCTTCAACCCTGCTTTCTAAGCACATCAAAGAACTTGTCGTTCGCATGTGATGATAAGTTCTGTCAGGGCACTTACTGGCCACGAACGCGAGTTCAAATATTCGTCGACGAATTGATTATTGACGAGTGCATACGTCCGAGTGACGCAGTGCTCGTGTCCAGTGCGTGAGCTGGGCTCGGCTGACGTATCACAGTGGAAAGGCGAAGAGCTTCCCCTTTTCGTACCGACAAACTGGTTTTTTACTTTCAACCCTCTTTTGGCCCGCTAAACGATATCCGATTACAGTGATGTGATTGCTGCGCCAGTTGCGCGAAACTGCTCCAAGGGGCGAACCCTGCTACATCCTGCTACATTTCCTTTGGCGCAGGCTTGGCGCATGCGCAAAGCCTGCGCCAAAGAACCAATTTCGCTCGCCTTTTAAAACCGAATCTAAACTGAGTAGTGTAATGAGCACACGTGACCTAGGTGGCGCAAGCAGCCGTCCGACACAAAGTGCCCTGCATCAATCATTCATCCGGTCTTGCAATGTTTTTCCCCCCGTCTCTCGTTTAGCGCTCTCGTCCTCTCGTTGTCTCGCGTGTTTTCAAAACTTTTGCAACAATAGACGCGGGTGTCTGCGGGCGCTCCGACACTAGCATGCTGGGTACCAGCCATGCCATCATGCTGTGAAACGAAACCACGTTTTGGCGCGGCGGGAGGTACTTTGTGAGCTGAAGCACTCGCTCCTCAAAGCAATGGTCGTGGGAAAACTATATTTGGTTCCTGCCTACCAGTCCCCGTGGTCGCGCGACGTCGAGTGTTGCCGTCGCCACATCGCTGCAGATGTGGCGCTTTCTAAACTGAAACGTAAGGACTGCCCTAATCTTCATCAACATTCCTATTCTTGTTTAATACGCTACTACAAAAATGCCTCTAGATCAAAGGCTCCTGTGTCAAAGTACTGTTTAACTGGGTTTCTCTCGGTAACCTTTCTTTCGAGGGGGACCCCGGTACGTAAAACATCTGCCGCGAAAGAGTGTTGGTGAAGAGAAGTGAGCTCAAGCAAAGAAGGCGATGTCTGTTACGCCGAACTCGCACAGCGCGCATGTTTGTCTCGAGTTCAGTCGTTGCACAAAGCGCTCCATGAACTTTTTGACCCTGGCTCGTGATGTCTTGCATCGATGTGCTCAGGTTCTTTTTTTTTTTTTTCTTCTGTGTGTTTAGCGTATATCTCGCCAGCCGCTCTGGCAAGCACGTGCGGCTGGGCTGTTCTTAGTCGTATGCTCGACAGTTACATTTTGTGTACAATTTTGGCAACCCGTTGGCGGCGGAGCGGAGTGGCATGGTTTCGATCGAACAGCTATCTCCGCTCGCGTGACAATTTCGCATTGCATTGCAGTGGTCACGTGTATCAACAGTTCGAGATTGCTTCCATTTAAAAGAAATATCAATCGATGTAGTTTGGTTCTTATTTACCTATAGCAGGTACATACATATGTATCATTTTACGGAAGCATTGCAATATGTTTCATGTCATTGGCATTTCAATTACATGTTGAAAGACTCTCAGGTGGTCTAACTTGACTATAATATGTTTACAGTGGCGAGCCAAGTGACCTTCGTTTGTCCAGCACTTGAAACAAATATTTTTATTTTTCTAAGAATATCTGCTCCAAAGGCCACTTTTGCTGCTCCAAAACACTGTTTTGGGCTGGTCCGAAAGGTGCTCCAAAACGGGTTAGGCCAATCACATCACTGCGATTAGTAAAGTTCCAATCTAAAATCATTTATCCCAGTCAAAAATTTAATTTTATTTTCCCTATAACGTTTGCGTCATAGGATAGGGACCAGGCCACGTGACCATTGTTTGGCTCCGAGTTAAAGAAATGAACGATGCTCATATTTCTCGTTTTTTTTTTGTTTTTCTTTTTGGCTATTTTTGTTGTTTAGAAGGGGAAAGTTTATTCAGTTATTAACGTTAGGGAGTGATTCTGAGTAGTATTTAGCGATAGTAGAAAAATCGTTTCATGGCTTCTTTAAAGGGAGACTGACACCCAACATTTTTGTTATATTTTTTGCCAGGCGATTCATTGCGCTGTCAGAAGACTATCCAATCAACATTTCGCTTCAACGTCACGTATATTGTTCATTAAAAAAAAAAAAACGCAACTGCTTGAAATTGAAATTCGACTGGGGAGGAAGAAGAAATCTAGAGGAGGAGAGAGTTGGCGAAAGTCACGTGGCTGTGCAACTTTTTTTTTTTTTTTTTTTTTCATTCAACGTATTTGCGGCTTTTTAGAGGCCACAAAAAAACTGGGAACTGATTTCATTTCTATTTTTAATATTAAGTAGGTGCCTTCGATAACCCACGACGTTGATTATATTTGGTGGTTCTGTCTAAACCATAGAAAGCGGCACGGGACCACGGAGAATGGAGAGTGAGCGTGACTCACATTGGCCAGTTCTTGATCAATGATTTTCGGGCGGAAAGAAAAAAAAAAAACGAATTTAGAGCCGAAAATTGTGTTCTGGGTAGTTGGGATCTTTTATGTCATGTACAAATAAAAACCTTGACGAGCATAAATACCCTGTCAGTGTCGACGAATAAGTGAGCTCCGTTGAGTGCACTTTCCGCCAGCGAACCGGTGCGCTGCGGAAAAGCTACACCCGGTAACTGGACATCCGCGTTCTGATTGCGAACTCCCTTTAATAATCCCATCGCACGGTCGCGGTTTGGGGCGTTTGACCACGTTTTGCAGCGCCGCATTGTGATGAAACGGCCGTCGGCCGCTCTCAAGCATGGCTGAGTGTACGTTCTTTTTTTTGTTTTGTTTTGCTGCGGATGTTTTAAAGCAAGAGCAGCCATGCATGGCATTAAATAAAGACGTTTTCTCAATTCAACTCAACTTCTTAAAGGATTAAATAATCCCTGAGCCGAGAGGGTCATACTACATTTTGGAGTGGTAGCCAGGCAGTGTTGCACGGAACGACGTTCCTGGAACGCGTTCCTTTTAAGAGGGACGAAGGAACGCCGCAGTTGCATTTTGCGTCGGTGGAACTGGAACGGGAACTCGTTACATTTTTACTGGAACGGAAATAGGAACGGCGTTCCTTTTTTCCGTCCAGTGGGGTAATTTTTATTTTGTTTCTAAAAGTAAAATTCTAAAAGTATTAAAAAAAATGAAAGCCGTTTAGAATTCCCTGTAACGCCGGATTAGAGCGCAGCTCTTGAGGTGGAGGATGGAAGCGTACTGAGGTATAGGTGACTCCTTGAGGTCACGTGACCTCGGGGGGTGGGGATTGTGTGACGTCAGGGGGATCGCGTGACCTCAGGGGGTTCACGTGGCCTTAGGGGGTCACATGACCTCGGGGGGTCACATGACCTCGGGGGGTCACGTGGCCTCGCGGTTACGCCGACGGCGACGCCGACGCCGCTCAAGCGGGAAACGGGCCCCTAAGAGCTGCGCTCTAAAATCTTTACGAAGAGCTGGATCTCGTTAACGTTTTGGTTACTTTTCTTCGTATTTATTTTGTATGGTCCTCGTTCGGTGGCGGTCGGGTGCACGAGAGATGGTGGACATTGATTCTTTTTTTTATGCCCGGGACTGTGGTACGAAAAGCAAAACTTTTAGTCGAAAGAATAAACACAGAAAGAGAAGAGTTTCAAACTAAGCAACTTCCTTTGCTTCCGCGAATCCTCATACACACAGAAATCTCAGAAATCTAAGGGCGACTACAGCCATCACTGAAATTCCACAAAGAGACCTACAGTTACAACAAATAAATGATTACCAGACATCAAGCGCATCTTTGTATCCCGAACATTGGTCACTTAAAAGATAGAAAAACATTAACCTTTTGGTCCTTCTCCACCCTCCCCCCGCCTTCAAGAAGGCTTTTAGTTTTCAAGATTGACCCTCCAAAAACCCTACCCCCTCCCTCACTTGCTCGTCTTGCGGACAGCAACACCGAGAAGCAACTGTTGTTAAGTTCGAACAAGGGAGTTTGTTAGATTGAAACGTGCGAGGTTGTTGTAAAACGCTCGTGCAATGTCTTGTAACAGTTCATTTGGCTCGTCTGAGTCGTGCACCACAAACGTGAATATGGTTAAGAGCTGAGATTTTTAAACTTGAAGATATCAACAAACGAAACGCTGTTTCCGCTTGTTTTCTTCTCCTGGTGCCC